AGATTCCCTTCTGGGCCTCAGCGACTCCCACCCCCCTGAAGGCAAATCCGCTCCAAATCGGTACTCGGATCCCTCCTGGCATCCACATGGTGCAATTTTTCACCCCGTATCCGTTTTTGATGGTCCTGGGGCCCGAAAGCTGCCCCCAGATACCGAAAGGGCAAAAAACCTCTGCGAACCCAGAACCTCAAGCCTGCCGCGCCCCCCTCCTTGCTCGCACGAACAAGTGCTGGGCCACTTCAGACCCCCAGCCGGGTCCCATGCCAGAGGTCGCTTTGGCGAAGGGTCACTCTTACGAGTGGCCGAGCTTTCGGAAGCCCATGGCCGACGCATGGCCGACGCACTGCCGACGCGTAGCCGAATATCGCCGATGCATCGGCGCCATCGGCGTGGAGAAAATCAGGATCCACATCGCGCAGCATCGCCGATGCGTCGGCGATGCGGCGCGACCCCCCAACCCCATCTACTCCGATCCCACCTGTGAAGGCTGAACTCTTACGCGTGGCCCATTTTGACGACGACGACGACGACGATAACGACTCTTACGCGTGGCCGACTTTTCGGAAGCTCGTGGCCGACGCATCGCCGACGCATCGGCGCCATCGGCGTGGAGAAAATCGGGATCCACATCGTGCCGTATCGCTGATGCATCGGCGATGCGGCTGGATGCTCCGACCGTACCGGGGAGGGCTGCACTCTTTCGGCGGCGAGTCTGGGGGGAAAGTGAGAAGGGGCGGGCCTTCTAAGAAGGCTCGGATGGCCTCTGGCCTTCTGAGAAGTTTTCGCAGCCTTTCCCCGAAGAAACAGAAAACATCTCAGAAGCCGCGAGGGCTCCTGAGAAACCCCGCCACCTTCTGAGAAGGACTTCTTCCTCTTACGCATGGGCCATCTGACGACAACGGCGACGGCGACAGACGGCGACGGCGACGGCGACGGCGATGGCGACGGCGACGGCGATGGCGACGGCGACGGCGACTGCGACAGCGACGGCGACGGCGACGGCGACGTCGACGGCGACGGCGACGGCGACGGCGACGGCGACGGCGACGGCGACGGCGACGGCGACGGCGACGACGACGACGACGACGACGACGACGACGACGACGACGACGACGACGACTATTAGTCTCGAGCGATAATGGATGCAAACCCCTTGGACACCCATGTCGAAGCTTTTCGAGCGGGGCTGGCCACCGAGAGTTTTTTTTGTTCGCGACGCGATCATGTCTGCGTCCTCTTCTTCGGCGTCCGACGGCGCGCGGCGACGCGGTGTAGCCATAGGGGTCGGCCGGCGGCCAACAGCACTAGGCCGAGGCGGCAGCGCGGGCAGGAGCGACGTCGGCCCCGGCCGTGCGCGGGGAAGTTATGTACACGCACGCGCAAAGAGGAGTAGAAGGAGGAGGAGGAGGAGGAGGAAGAGGAGGAGGCCGAGGAGGGAGTGAGGGTAGCGCAGCCGCCAACATGTCGGCTGTCCCACACGCCGACTGCTTTAAATTCTGGCCCCTTGCCAGGAACAGTAAAGCACTGGCCACAGGAGGAGGCGCAGAAGGAGGGGGGAGAAGCCGAGAGACGTGCGCGACCCCACTCAGCGCAGCCCGTGAAACAGTGCAATACCGATCTAAGGGTAGCAAGAGGAGGCAGAGAAAGAGAGAGAGAGAGAGAACGAGAGAGGAAGGAGACAGGGCGCCGGAGAAACGATATCTAATGGACGCCAGGTCACAGCCAAGGGCTCCACTGGCGGGCCATCCACACTCGGACAGTACTAACAGTCCCAATCGGGAGCAAGGAACACTGAAGAAAGGGATTGATAGGACAATCGTGGCGCACCGAAGCCACTAGCGGCGACCACTCCCGCGGAACGGAGGGGCAGAGGCTTCTGAGTGGGCGGGCGCCCCGAGCTGGGCAAAGAGCCGGTCTGCACTATATAAACTGAATCACGCGCGACCGATCGACACAGGAGGAGAAGGAAAAGCAAACGCTGGAGGCGAGGGGCGGGGGGACGGAGCACCGCACCACTACCATCGGACGCCATCCCCCCAGAGGGGGCCACAAGCCACAGGAAGGCAGGACCGCCCCCGACGACGACGACGACGACGACGACGACGACGACAGCGACGACGGCGGCGACGACGACAACGCCGACAACGCCGACGACGACGACGACGACGACGACGACGACGACGACGACGACGACGACGACGACGACGACGGCGACGACGGCGGCGGCGACGACGACGACGGGAGAAGAGGGGAAGAGGAAGGAGGGAGGGGGCCGACACCAGCACCGACTCCAGCACGTGCGCCAGTCCCCGCACCAGCGCTGACACCAGCGCCGACACCAGCGCACCGGTGAGCTGCGCGGCTCACTGGTGTCCCAGGTGCGCACGCTTGCTTCTACGCCGGCGCCGACGCCAGCAGCGACAACAGCAGCAACGCCGGCACCGACGCCGGTACCAACGCAAGCGCCTATACCAAGGCCGACGCCAGCACTGACGCCAACACGAGCACCAGCGCCTACACCAACGCTGCGGCCACCACCGACGACAGCGCGCCGGTAAGCTAATTACCCGGGCCACCGGTGCCCCAGGAACGCACGCCGGCGCCTACGCCAGCGCCGACGCCAGCGCCAGCATCACACTTTTTTGGCACCGAAATTCGTGACATTTTCGTTGCGTCCTGACTTGCAGATGCGGATGCTGGCTCCGAAATTCATGACATGCTCGATGCGTCTTGAAGCTCCTGCGGATCCGGCGCAGAGTCTAAATGTCACGGAGTTGGTGCGTCACGGAATTCTGCCCCACCTATCGTGTGACGCTACGCCTGCGTCAGCGCCGACACCAGTACCGACGCCAGCATCGACGCCAGCGCCTCCACCAGCACCGACGCCAGCACCAACGATGGCGCCGACGTCAGCACCGACACCAGCACCGACGCCAATACTTGGGCCTGCACCTACGCCGGCACCAACGCCAGCGCCTACACCAGCGCCGACGCCAGCATCGACGACAGCAGCAAGGGTGCACCGGTGAGCTGCCCAGCTCACAGGTGTTCCCTCCAGCCTGGTCGCTAGTAAGAGTTCCAACACCAACCCCGACTCCCCCACTCCGACGTCCAACACCGACGCCGGCACCGACGCCAGCACCAACGCTACGCCAGCAAACATGTTAGTGCCGATGCCAGCATCAACACCAGCACCGATGCCAACGCCAGCACCAACGCCAGCACGAGCACCAGCGCACCGGTGAGCTGCGCGGCTCACCGGTGTCCCAGGAGCGCACGCTGGAGCTTACGCCAGCGCCGACGCCAGCACCGACACCAGCATCAACACTTGCGCCGACGCCGGCACCAACGCAAGCGCCTACACCAGCGACAACGCCAGCACCGGTCCGTGAGTGGCACGTTTGGTCCGCCCCACCGCCTCCCCCTGGGGGCCCCACGCCTGGGGTGGCAGGGGACCGCTCCGTTCTCCCCCCCCTCCTTCTGCTGCTGCGGCCTCCTCCCTTCCTCCTCTTCCCCTCTCCCCTGTCTCCCTCTCCTTCCGGGGCTGGCCATCGAGAGGAGTTAAGGATGGAAGAGGAGGCATGGATGCAAAGGTACCCTTGGGAAGGTTATTAGAGGAACAGAAAGGGCGTAAACATAAACTTTTGACGGTCCGCGCGGGTTTCTTGGATCTGCGCTGGCCACCCCTCCCTGGTGCGCGGTGCGCGCGGGGGCTGCGCCGGAGGCGCCGCCAGAGGGTTCCAGCGCAGATCCAGGAAATCCGCGCGGAGCGTCGAACGTTGATGTTTATGCCGTCTCTTTGTTCCTCGACTGATTCAAGGGTATCCTTCGGATCCTGAACATCCAGCCGCTCCAATTTTTTCGATGCGTGGGCCCCAGAAATCTAAATTCTTTCCCAGGACTGGTTTCTTATCCCGAGTCGTTTGTTGACGGTCCCGAGGCCTGGCGGCAAGGCCCCCGGAGGACGAATACAGCCCAAATCCTTTGATTTTTTCGCGACGCGAGCATGTCTGGGCCCTTATGCACCCGATCTCGACTGCGCGCGTGGCTGGCCTCTCAAGCTCACGGCCTGCTCGTGCTCCGGCGGCCCATCTGATCGACGACGACGACGCCGACGCCGACGCCGATGCCGACGCCGACGCCGACGACGACAACGACGACTCTTACGCGTGGCCGACCTCTCGGAAGCTCATGGCCGACGCATCGCCGATGCATCGGCGATGCATCGGCGCCAGCGGCGTGGAGTAAATCGGGATCCACATCGCGCCGTATCGCGGATGCATCGGCGAATCCAGCGGGCGGTGGCGACGAGGGCCCCCCAGGAGGCCCAAAAAGGGGAAAACGAGGCAAAGGTAGCGTCATGTCTACCCTTCCTCCTCTGACCACGTCCCTAGGATCGGCTTTGCATCCTCAATCTTTTTTGATGGCCCCGAGGCCCTGCAAGGGCCCAAAGAGGCCGAAAACAGTCAAAAACCCGCCCGCTGCAAGTTTTGTTGGAGCGTCGGATCTCTGGGAAGGCTACCCGTCTTTGCTATCGATCTCGACTGTACGCGGGGCCGGCCTCTCGGAAGCTCATGGCCTGCTCGCGCTCCTAGAGGCCTTCCGAATTGGGTTCGAACACAGGGGTCAGAGGATCGCGCCGCATCGACGGTACATCGGCGATGCATCGGCAATGCATCGTCGACGTCGGCGATGCATCGGCAAATTCGACGTGAAGAAAATCGGGGCCCATACCGAGGCGTATCGCCGATGCACCGGCGATGCAGGAAGATCCTTCGACCCCATCTGCTCGGACCCCATCTGGGAGGCCTAGTGTCCCATCTGATCGACGACGACGACGACGACAACGACGGCGACGATGACGACAACGACGACGGCGACGACGGCGACGACGGTGACGACGACGGCGACGACGGCGACGACGGCGACGGCGACGACGACAGCAACGACGACGACGACGACAGCGACGACGACGACGACGACTCTTACGCGGGGCTGGCCTCTCGGAAGCTCATGGCCTGCTCGTGCTCCGGCGGTAGGAGCGGCAGCGCCGCGGCGGCTGGGCGCCCCGCGTGGTCCGCCAGCCACAGGCCCGCGGCGCGTGCGCGCGCCAGGTCCTCGAGGCTCCCGAGGCCGACCTGGTCCTGGGAGGGAGGGGAGGGTTACCCTCTCCTCCTCCTCCTCCTCCTCCTCCTCCTCCTCCTCCTCCTCCTCCTCCTCCTCCTCCTCCTCCTCCTCCTCCTCCTCCGTCGAGCGCCTAAAAAAAGGTACCGATGACGCTGCCCTGGCCTCGAGCGCACCACGTGCCCCAGAGATCCCCAGAGGAGGAACAAGTCAGGACGGGGGGGTTCTTGCGAGCCCCAGGACCGTCAACAAAAATACTTTGAATGACAAACCAATCCTGGGGTATGGGTCGATACCGCTGGATGTAGACAGTGCAAGAATATCATGACGTCGAGGGTCTGGGAAGGTACCAACACAGCTGCCCTGGCCTCGTCTTCGCCTTTTTGGGCCTCCTGGGAGGTCCCCGCGGCCACGGCTGAATTCGCCTTGACATTCTGGTCAGAACGCACCCTAGAAGAGGTCTGGGGAGCAGCAGCATCGGCATCTGTTGGTTGCCCCAGGTCCAGGTACTCGTTCACGTCCACCACGTGCACGCAGAGGCGCGGCTCGGGGTGCTCGTGCGCGGAGAAGGCCATGCCCACTGGCCAGCCAGGGTGCCCGATGGCGATGACGGGCACGCAGTCTTGCGTCAGGTTTCTCCTGGCCCCGCCGACTGCAGGCGTGGGCAGGCACCTGAACGACGAAGGGAAGCGGGCCTTCCGCACGAGGACACCGTGCGACCGTGCGCGGTGGTGTGCACAGGCCGCCAACGCAACGCGCCGCGTGAAAGAGGGCTCCGACGCGAACCGCCACGCGGGCAGCTTGCTGCACGCGCGGATGTCCGCGCAGTCGGCTCCGTTTCTGTAACGCCGCTCACCTTGGCACGCTCGCGGGGCCGTTTCCGAAACACCTGTCCTCCGCCGTGCCATCCTGGACATCCCCCCACCCGTCGGCCAGGTTGCAGGTGAGGCGGAGGGCCGTCAGCACGGCGTGGTCGGAGTCCCGGCTCTGCATGTTCAGCCTCCTCCAGGGTACGTGGTACAATGCCCCAGTGCCCTGGACGGCGCGGATATCCTGGTCGGCACCGAATCCCCCTGCCCCGCCGGGGGCGGGGGGCTCCAACGCCGAACCGAAAATCAGCGCGGAGCTCCGGAAAGTTCATGTTGGTGCTGGGACTGGGATCGGGGTCATCCTGGGGTGCGTCCCCACCGATATCTCGAAGCGGATCCAGCTGCGGCGACGAGAAAGCCCCAGGAGGCCCGAGAAGGGCCAAAACCGTCTCAGAACCTTTCAGGTCGATCCTCGAGCCTCGATCCAAGCACCTCGAATGGACGGAACATACTACCCCGCAGTCGCGGATAAGAGTGAATCGGGCGGCAGGGACGTCTGCAGTCTGCGAGGCTCTGAAGAAGCCCGCCGCAGGTGCCATTTTACAGATTATACAACGAGCCCGCCGCAGGCGCCGATTTTTCGTTCAAGCAATGTGGATGGGTCTCGGGGTGGGTCGCGGGTGGGTCGCGGGTGGGTCGAGGGCCGGGTCGCAGGTGGGTCGCGGGTGGGTCGAAGGCGGGTCGCGGGTAGGTCGCGGGTGGGTCGCGGGTGGGTCGAAGGCGGGTCGCGGGTGGGTCGCGGGGTGGGTCGCAGGTGGGTCGCGGGTGGGTCGCGGGTGGGTCGCGGGTGGATCGACGGCGGGTCGCGGGTGGGTCGCGGGTGGGCCGCGGGTGGGTCGCGGGGTGGGTCGCGGGTGGGTCGCGGGTGGGTCGCGGGTGGGTCGCGGGCCAGGTCGCGGGGGAGACGACGCCAAGCAACAACAAACAACAAACAACACACAACGCACAACAAACAACAAACAACAAAGTATCCCAGTGCGACCCTACCTAGGCGTTGGAGCATTTAGGAAAGCAACATCTACATCTACACCGACAGCTACATTTACATCTACACCTAAGCTAAGCTAAGCTAAGCTAAGCTAGGCTAGGCAAAGCTAAGCTAAGCTAAGCCAAGCTAAGCTAAGCTGAGATGAGATAAGCTAAGCTAAGCTAAACTAAGCTAAGCTAAGTTAGGCTAGGCTAGGCAAAACTAAGCTAAGCTAAGCTAAGCTAAGATGAGATAAGCTAGGCTAAGCTAAGCTAAGCTAAGCTAAGCTGGGTGAACCAAGGGGGCGCAATTGGGGGAACCGCGGGGCGGATGCCGGGGGAACCGCCTGGGGCGGGTTCCACTGCCCGGCCCCTTTAAGATACAGGGTAAGAACCCTTCTAGGCAGAGCCTAGCAACAACAACAACTACCTACAACGACAACGACAACAACAACGCCATCAACAGAAAGAACACAGAACAACAACAACAACAACAACAACAACAACAACAACAACAACAATCACTTTACCCGAACGCTCAGTGTTCTCACCAGTGCCAGGGTTTTCATGCGACGCCAGCCAATACCCCCACTTTGTGGGGGGGCAGTGCAAGCTCTACCAAATATCCACACGACTCTTCGCCACCACCCACACCCAGCTTCCCGCCCTATGACGTTCGGACACTTCACTTCGTGGCCTGCGGACGACCGTGGCTACTACACTGGCGTGGAGTACACACCCACAGAAGTTGTTAAGCCTACGTTCGTACACCCACAGAAGTTGTTAAGCCTTGTTAACCCACAGAAGTTGCCCCAGAAGTTGTTGGCAGGCGCGCGAACCCCGTTGCAAGAGCGTGCGAAAGTAGCTCGCGCGAGCTCATGTAACATAAATGTTGGAAAACCATTGGTTTTTTTAGGATTCGGACAGCGCGCGCGGGTAGAAATTTTGAAAAGTCGTGCAGGTGTTTTTCGAGGACCTACGGTGCGATTCGTGTGATTTTATGATGCGCGGTGCTAAAATTCTTAAGAAGCCCAATGGTTTTTGGAGATTTCGGCGTGCGCGCGCGAAGAAAAAACGAATGTGTCCCGCATGGTATTATTTGACAGGGATGATGGCCCTGGCAGGTGCGCAACCGTTGTCGCAGAAGTTCGAAAAAGTTGCTCGCAAAAGCCCGTTTGACAGAAATGTTTAAAAAGTGTTGGGTTTCCTACGAATCCGCAAGAGCGCGCGGGATGAGATTTTGACATTTTTTTGTTGAAAAACCATTGGTTTTTTGATGTTTTTATGTTAAAATCGCTCCGAACACTAAGCTTTTGGAAGGATTTCGTCTTGCGCGCGCGAATGTCCACTTTACCTTATTTTTTGCAAGGGATTCTTGAAATTTGATTATATTAGAACAAGAAATGTCATTTTATAGTGTTTTTTGCAAGGGAAAACGGATTACAACAAAACAACCGGATCTTGATCACATCGTTTACCTGAGGCTTCCTCACGAAAATGATGAAAATGTAGCTGCGGCCTAGGCGGCGCAGGGGGGCCGTGCACCAGGGGTCCCAACAATAATTATTCTTTAGAATTAATAATGTTCAACAACAACAACAGCAACAACAACAACAACAACAACAACAACAAACATAACAATACGTAGCACCTCGCAGATGCGGATAAGAGTGGGGGGACGGTGGGGACGTCGGCAGTTTGCGAGACTCTGAAGAAGCCCACCGCAGGCGCCAAAGTTTCACAGATTATACGAGCCCGCCGCAGGCGCCGACTTTTTCGTTAAACCAATGTGGGTAGGTCGCGGGTGGGTCGCACGGGTGGGTCGCGGGTGGGTCGCTGGTGGGTCGCTGTTGAGTCGCGGGCGGGTCACGGGTGCAGAGGGCAGAAAACCCACCGCATCATCATCACCCCGACAACCGAAGCCGTTTAGTAAACGCGCGCGAGGATTGAACTGAACAGGGCAAGGCTGTTCAGAAAACGCCCGGGGCCGTTTAGTAAACGTCGAAATGTCGGGCCGGGTAGTTTCTCCTCCCTTGAAGGTGGGTCGCGGGGTGGGTCGCGGGTGGGTCGCGGGGTGGGTCGCGCGGGGGGTCGCGGGTGGGTCGCGGGTGGGTCGCGGGTGGGTCGCGGGTGGGTCGCGGTTGGGTCGCGGGTGTGTCGAAGGTGGGTCGCGGGTGGGTCGCGGGTTGGGTCGCGGGTGGGTCGCGTGAGGGTCGCGGGTGGGACGAAGGTGGGTCGCGGGTGGGTCGCGGGGTGGGTCGCGGGTGGGTCGCGGGGTGGGTCGCGGGGTGGGTCGCGGGATGGGTCGCGGGGTGGGTCGCGGGGTGGGTCGCGGGTGGGACGACGACGACAAACAACAACAACAACAGCAACAATAACAATAACAACAACAACAACAACAACAACAACAGCCAACAGCCAACAGCCAACAGCCAACAGCCAACAGCCAACAGCAACAACGGCAACCACTACCTACAACAACAATCATAACCAACACGCCATCAACCCAAACAACAACAACACCATCATCAGCAACACCAACAGCAGCAACAACAACAGCAACAACCACCACCACCACCACAACCACAATAACAACAACACCAGCACCACCACCACCACCACCAACAACAACAACAGCAACAACAACAACAACAATAATAACAACAAGGCAACAACAACGACATTAATTTTAAGTGTGTTCGCCCTTATTTTCTCGAGTGTCCAATAACGGGTATTTCCCAAACCCTCGATACCCGCCCTCTTCGTCTTCGATCGAACCCCTTTTGGGGGGTATACCTTTCTTCCCTGCAGGCCGGGCCCCGGCAAGCGGCGGGGCGGCCGCGGACCGTCGGCCTGGCCAGCGGCAGCGCTGATCGGCGGGGCGGCCGCGGACCGTCGACCCGACCCCAAGAGGGACGGACAGGGGACCGACCACGACGACGACGACGACGACGACGACGACGACGTCGACGACGACGGCGACGACGAGCGAAAGCGAGAGCGAGAGAGAACGACAGCAGGGCCACGAAGGGCACGAAGTAGGCCACGAAGGGCGACAGCGGGGACACGAAGGGAATGCGTATGGGGCCACGAAGAGCGCGAACGAGCGGGGGCCACGAAGTGCAGATAATGCGGGGCCACAGAAGGCAACTATGGGGCCAGTGAGGGTAGCAACTGGGCCACGTAGGACAGTGAGGGGGACACAAATGGCGACAGCGGGGCCACGAAGGGCATGCACATGGGGCCACAACGGGCGCGACTCCTGGGTGCCTGGGTGTCGGGAGCGCGGCGCTTGGGCAAATTGCAAGAAATTCCAACGCAAGGCCATTCTTCAGTAAGTTGCAAGCAAGTCCCCAGCGAGAGCGCGACTCCACAGCGCCGAGAAAGCGATTCCCTAATAAATTGTAAGGAAGTCCCAAGCGATAGCGCGATTCCTGAATAAAATGCGAGGAAGTCTCGGGCGGGAGCGGGGGTCCTGGCTAAATTGTAAGGAAGTCTCAGGCGGGAGCCGTTGTTGTTGTAACCCGGGGGCCAGGGGGCCAGTTTGAGCAGGAAGACTTTGCCCGTCAAAAGATAGGGTGCGAGCGTCGAGGGGCACACTTTGATTGAGAAAAAACAGCATGCACCGGTGAGGGGGGCTCAGCAATAATTATTCTTCAGAAGTGAGAGTTCGACAACAACAACAACAACAACAACAACAACAACAACAACAACAACAACAACAACAACAACAACAACAACAACAACAACACCAACACCAACACCAACACCAACACCACCAACAACAATTACAACGACACGAATCATCATGTTAAGGCTGTTCGCTCGTATCTGCTC